CCAGGTAGAGAGCACGCTTGCGGAAGTAGCGCTGGTTGAGCCCATCCTTGTCCTGTAGGATCTCCTGAAGGGGATCAAGAAAAGAGAGATGGCCATGTACTTTAAGTACTTACTGTTCAAGAGTTTGGGGGTCCAGATGAAGCCAAGGTGAGAGTTATAATGAGTTATAGCTTAGCAACTCCAGAATTCTCTGCCTGCTGGCCAGAATGCCCGAGTCAGGACTAGCAACACCATACTCAGTTTGCAAAGGTGTAAAGCAGGGGTCCTCAAACTTTTTAAACAGGGAGCCAGTTCACTGTCCCTCAGACTGTTGGAGGGCCGGACTATAGTTTAAAAAAAAACTATGAACAAATTCCTATGCACACAGTGGCGGCAAAAACACCCGGCGGGCCGGATAAATGTTTTTGGCGGGCCGCATGTGGCCCGCGGGCCGTAGTTTGAGGACCCCTCGTGTAAAGGGACAGCAAATGGCCTAAGGGCTCATCTGAGTAGCCCTCTAAAGAAAATTGCAGTGATCTATTCTTTTGATTTAGTTCAGATTTCAATCCACTGGCAAGCAACAGGTGGGAAAAAGGGGGGGACTCTGGGATTTGTAAGTAGTACAGTAGCAAGAGTTTGGGGGTCCAGATGAAGCCAAGGTGAGAGTTATAATGAGTTATAGCTTAGCAACTCCAGGAATTCTCTGCTGCCAGAATGCCCGAGTCAGGGCTAGCAACACCATACTCAGTTTGCAAAGGTGTAAAGGGACAGCAATTGACCTAAAGGCTCATCTGAGTAGCCCTCTAAAGATAATTGCAGTGATCTATTCTTCTGATTTAGAATTCAGATTTCAATCCATTGGCAAGCAACAGGTGGGAAAAAGGGAGGGACTCTGGGATTTGTAAGTAGTACAGTAGCAAGCCATTCCATCCCTGAACTCTGGACCTCACCTTGGGCATGGTCAGTGCTACATCCACATTGATGTCTGGCCGGATACAGGTGCCCAAAAGGTAGCTGCCCACAACAGTGACCTGGGCTGGGGGCAGGAAGCGGAAACAGCCCTTCACAGTATAGGGCACTTGGTGGAGAGGCACTCGAACTCCAGCTGGAAGCCATGCCTGGTCAGTCAGCTGTGGGGACAGAGACAGTGATACATATTGATTTGATTGCCTTTCTGAACACGTCCCCTGGATGTCTAGTACACCTCTCAAATACAAAATGTCAACATGTTTGAAACCAAACTCCTGATATTCTTGTAAACACGTCTTCCCCATGATGGCAATTCCATACTAGCTGCTCAGGCCAAAAACATTTATATCACCATACTCATCTGTTAAGAATTCCCACTTCACTTTCAAAAGACATCCAGACATGACCACGTCTCTAAACCACCATTTTTCAGTGATCACTGCATAAGAGGTTCCTAACCACTTTCCCTGACTTCACCTATGTCCCATTCTGTTCTACTTTTTAAATAATTTTATTTATGTATTTTTAAAATTTGTATTTATTGACTTTAGAGTAGGGGTGGGAAACATCCAACCCATGGGTCATTTAAGTCCCACAAAATCATTTGGTCTGGCCCTGCCAAGGCATTAGGGGTTAGTTAAATGTTTGACTAGCCCTAGCTGGTTTGGCTCAGTGTATAGAGAGTGTCGGCCTATCCCACTTCACTTTCAAAAGACATCCAGACATGACCACATCTCTAAACCACCATTTTTCAGGGATCACTGCATAAGAGGTTCCTAACGACTTTCCCTGACTTCACCTATGTCCCACTCTGTTCTACTTTTTAAATTTTATTTACGTATTTTTTAAATTTGTTATTTATTGACTTTAGAATAGGGGTGGGGAACATCCAACCCATGGATCATTTAAGTCCCGCAAAATTATTTGGTCTGGCCCTGCCAAGGCATTAGGGGTGAGTTAGTTAAATGTTTGACTAGCCCTAGCTGGTTTGGCTCAGTGGATAGAGTGTCGGCCTGTGGACTGAAGGGTCTCCGAGTTTGATTCCGGTCAAGGGCACATGCTCTGTTGCGGGCTTGATCCCCAGTAGGGGGCATACAGGAGGTAGTGGATCAATGATTCTCTCTCATCATTGATGTTTCTATCTCTCTCTCTCTTTCCCTCTGATAAAAGTACTTTTTTTAAATAAATGTTTGACCAAATATAGCAGGCTAATTTTTAAGTTGATAATTTTGTATGGCCTGAAAATGATGTTATAAATATCTAAATGGCGCCCAGCCAGTGCAGCTCAATGGTTGAGCATCACTATGAATCAGGAGGTTGAGGTTCGATTCCCGGTCAGGGCACATGCCCAGATTGTGGGCTCAATCCCTGGTGGGGGCTGCGTAGGAGACAGCTGATTGATGTTTCTCACTCAACAATGTTTCTGTCTCCCTCTCCCTTCCTCTCTCTTTAAAAAAATTTTTTTTTAATTAAAAAAAAAATCATAAACCACTCCCATCCTCTGATATTCCCATAATCCCCTTACTTCGACCTACTTTTTCCTTTTTTTTCATAGTGCTTACTACCTTCTAATTTAACATGTAGTTTACTTGTCATGCTTATTATCTATTGTCCATAACCCCAACACTAAAACAGGCTGCTTTGTTCAGAGACAGAATTCACTTTCTTTAAATACTTTTCTGTATTAATTATTTTGTATCATCTGGCCTTGTTTTTTTAAAAACAGAATTATAAGATCTATGAGAAAAGAGACTTTTAAAGGTGGCAGACACGTAGTAAGAACACCATAAATATTTGTAAGGTACACATAAATGCTATTACTAGATAAATAGGAATGTTAAAATCAATTATGCAAAATAAGTAAAACAGGACTCTTATTCAGAAACACATTATTAGCAATTATAGTGTTACATATATTTGAAATATAGCAATGTTTCTTTTAAAAATTACTCCATCTCTGGTTTTATAACTCACTCTGATTTCTTTTACCCAGTTGAGTCAAGTTTTATAGAATACCATAGAGTGCATCTCCATTACATGCTAATAAGCACCACTGAGGAGCATTTTCTTTTGATAAAGAGGTGCAAATTACTCAGGTAACTCTTCTGGTGCATTAAATGTTACTCTGGTGACTTAAAAAGTGTCTGCCCTCAAGTACTCTGCTATCAGCAGAATCAGGCCTATTAAGAGGTGTGCATTTCTCAAAGTGTCCTCATTCCTGCTATGGGACCAGGTACTTTGGGGAGCATGCAGAATTGGAAAGAAAAATCTGGATGGTTTTTAATGTTGCAAAACTGTATTCTCTGATTGCTCCAGAGATACTATAAATGTTGAAGTTAGTAGGGGGAAAATCAAGTATAGGAACAAGGAGCCATTTTAGGAGAAGTTGGCATTATTTAAGTACCTGGAAAGTAAACTTTTAATGCCTATCTTTCTGAAAGTAGGTTTAAAATGTCACCTTCTGAGTAAATTAACTTTTAAAGATCATTTCAGAAAGGATGTAGGAATCATGGTGATTCCTGAGAGCACAGCTCTGTGTTCACACTTTGCTAGACCAACATAGCTAGTTGTTTATATTTCTGAGATCTGAAAAATAATCTCAAAAAAAAAACCAACCCTTTAAAACACACATGCTGTTTATTTTTGGTGCATTATAAAGCAATATGCAAAAACCACAAGTAAAGTAGGAAGCCTAAGTTAAACTCTAGTACAGTGGTTCTCAACCTTGGCTGCACATTAGAATCACCTGGGAATCTTTTTAAAATCCTGATTTCTGGGCCTCATCCTCCGGAAATTCTGTTTCTTTGTTACTAATGTTGTGGCCCCACCCCATAACAAAGAAACAGAATTTCTGGAGGATGAGGCCCAGAAATCAGGATTTTAAAAAGATTCCCAGGTGTTTCTAATGTGCAGCCAAGGTTGAGAACCACTGCCCTTAGAAGAACATCACTGAGCTCTAGACTGAGAACGCCTTGAGTTGAGGTTTCCCTGTCTACCTGACACACAAGCAAGGAGCACGGGTAGGGGCAGTAGCTGACTGGGCCCTACCCTAAGCAACGCCTGAGTTCCTTGTATTTCCAGGTATCATGCATCAGGGTGCTTCTAATTCTGCTGGATCAGTCCTGGGACTTTGCAAATGCCATCCCCACGCTTGGACCAGGTCTACATGCCCAGAGTTTAGCACACTGTAAATGCTCAATAAATGTCAAATGAATGAATGAATGTCAATCTTTTAGTTTTGTCTCTTACCATTGTCTCCATCAAATTTATGCCCAGCCATATTGAACTACTTGGAGTTTCCCGACTCTATCTTGCCCTCTTGTCCTGTACCTTTGAAGTTGCTGTCTTCCTTGCTCAGAATGTTTTGGTTGTTCCCCCCACCCCCACCCCACCAGCTTTATTGAGCTATAATTGATAGATAGCATTGCTTAAGTTTAAGATATATAATGTGATGATTTGTTACATATCGCAAAATGATTACCACAGTAAGGTTAATTAAGACATTTAACGTAACCACCATTTGTTGTGATGGTGGTGGTAGTGGTGGTGAGAACATTTAAGATTACTCCCTTAGAAACTTTCAAGCATACAATGCAGTATTGTTAACTACTGTCATCATGCTGTACATAGGAGCCCCAGAATTCATTCCTCTTATAACTGGAAATTTGTACCTTTTAACTAACAGCATCTCATTTCCCCCATTCCACAGCCCCTGGCAATCACCAGTCTACCCTGTGCTTTCATGAGCTTGGTGTTTTGAGATTCCACACATAAGTGAGATCAAACAGTATTTTTTTAAATATATATTTTATTGATTTTTTATTGAGAGGAAGGGAGAAGGATAGAGAGTTAGAAACATCAGTTAGAAACATCGATGAAAGAGAAACATCGATCAGCTGCCTCCTGCACACTCCCTACTGGGGATGTGCCTGCAACCAAGGTACATGCCCTTGACCAGAATTGAACCTGGGACCCTTGAGTCCACAGGCCAACGCTCTATCCATTGAGCCAAACCGGTTAGGGCGAGATCATACAGTATTTATATTTTTTTCCTCTGACTTACTTCACTTGCCTAATGCTCTTAATGTTCATCCATGTTGTCACATATGGCAAGACTTCCTTCTTTATGGCTGAAGAATGCTTTGATTGTTAAGGAAGGTTTCCTGGAGGAGATGGGCTTGTGCTAAGTCTTGAAGCATGATTTCAGTTTTGAATTGAGAGGATGAAGCAGCACTGCTCAAGTCTGAGGAAGACCAAAGAGATAAGAAATTAGTTGATCACTCATTCCACATTGGATGACACTTAAGAAATGGCAAATCTTGTGCTCAGTGTAAAAGATAAATAAGACATGACGATCACAAGCCAGAAACTAGAATACTACTCTTTCCCTCACATTTTGCAGGCTGGTTCCTCTATTCATTTAAATGTGATGTCATAGAGATTTCTTCTGTCCCTGCCCTGCCTCCATTTAAAATTGCATCAACCCCTGCCCTGGCTGGGGGCACGGTTGGTTGGAGCATTATCCCATACAACAAAAGGTTTCATGTTAGATTCCCAGTTGGGACACATACCTAGGATGTTGGTTTGATCCCCGGTCGGGGCATGTATGTGAGACTCCAATCAATGTTTCTCTCGCACATCAATGCTTCTCCCTCCCTCCTCTCTCTCTAAAATCAATAAAACATCTTTTTGAGTGAGGATTTAAAAAATAAAGTTGCATTCACCTCAAAATTTTTAGTCTTGATTTTCTTAATCACCTTTATTAAAAAATTTGCAATGATATTGTTTACTTATTACCTGTTTTGTCTTATATCCGCTAGAACCGTGGTCGGCAAACTGCAGCTCACGAGCCACATGCGGCTCTTTGGCCCCTTGAGTGTGGCTCTTCCTAAGCCTTAGGAGTACCCTAATTAAGTTAATAACAATGTACCTACCTATATAGTTTAAGTTTAAAAAATTTGACTCTCAAAAGAAATTTCAATCATTGTACTGTTGATATTTGGCTTTGTTGACTAACGAGTTTGCCCACCACTGCGCTAGAATGTAAGCTCCATGAGGGCAGGATGTAATAATTTCTGTCTCATTCACTACTGTATCCTTGGAATTTAGCACAGGACCTGTCACAGAGCATACACTCAATACATATTTGTTGAGTGAATGAATGGCTCTTTCCTAAGAGTAACTCAGAGGCTGGGAGAAAGATGTAAACAAATAATTGCAATATAGCGTTGGAGTAATAATATGCACAGTTGCTGTGGGCATGTTAGATTAGGAACATTATGGCATAGTGGTTAGAAGCAGTCACACTAAAGTGGGATGGCCAAGGTTCAACTCCAGGTTCTGCCATTTATTCATTGGGTGACTTTTAAAAAATGTATTTTTTTTTATTATTGATCTTAGAGAGAAGGAGAGAGAAACATCAATTGGTTGCTTCTCACACGCACTGGGCAACCCAGGCTTATGCCCTGATGGGGAATCAAACCCACCACTTTTTGGTGCACAAGATGATGCTGCAACCAACTGAGCCATACCTGCCAGGGCCATTGGGTGACTTTCCTAACCTCTCTAAGCCTTATTATACACAGTTAGATAGATATTCTAGTTATGACCATGTCATGGATTTTTTTTAGTGAGAATTAAGTAGGATACTGTTTGCCTGTCACATACTGATGCACAGCAAATGTTAGTTATTATTATTAAAGGAAAATTGTTCCTTAAGAGCACTACCCAAGACTTACATGCGTTAAGATATGCAGAATGAAAACAATCTTGGCCCCCTAAGGTCAGAATTAACTTTTCTAAAGCAAGTACTCCTCCCTTTTATTTATCTTACCAAGATTGATTTGCATGTCTTTTCTTTGTGCAAGAAAGGTAATTGATTCTTCAGTAGAGCCCTGGTTGTACCAGGTGATGCCACAGAGACTGAGGGTAAATATCCCGTTTTTTTCACCACTAGAGGGCACCAAATAAGTCAAATCAATCTCTACTTGTCATTATGAAACAATATGAGAAAGCACTAGTAAGCTGTTTCTGCCATTCATTCTTTTTAAAAAAATTCATTTTAGATAGAGAGGGAGGGAAAGAGAAACATTGATGTGAGAGAGAAACATCAATTGGTTGCCGCCCAGACCCCCAACCTGGGTACGTGCCCTGACCAGGAAATCAAACCTTTGAACCTGCGATACTTTGGTGCACGAGAACCCTCCAATCAACTGAGCCACACTGGTCAGGACTGCCATTCATTCATTCATTCATTTTTAATATTTTATTTATTTATTTTTTAAAATATATCTTTATTGATCTCAGAGAGGAAAGGAGAGGGAGACACAGAAATATGATGAGAGAATCATTGATCGGCCGCCGCCTGCATGCCCCCTGCTGGGGATTGAGCCCACAACCCAGGCATGTGCCCTTGGCTGGAATCGAACCTGGGACCCTTCAGTCTGCAGACTGACACTTTATCCACTGAGCCAAACCGGCTAGGGCTATACTAGGTGTACCAGTTAGTAATGTGGATTTTTTCAATAGATGGAGTTACACATATGTTGATATATATGCGATTTGATATGTATGCTATTTGTTGTACTGACAGCAAGCTTCAAAACTTCATGTCAAATTTTCTGAAGGTGTTAACATCATAGATATTTTTACACTTAAAAATGTTGAATTTCGTGCCAAAAAAAAGAGCATTAGCGGGGAAGTTTAGAAGCTTGCTGTCAATACAACGAAATAGCATACATATCAAATCGCATATATCAACATATGTGTAACTCCATCTATTGAAAAAAATCTGCATTATTAACCGGTACACCTAGTATATATATATTTTAAATATATTTTTATTGATTTCAGAGAGGGAGAGGGATAGAAACATCAAGGATGAGAGAGAATCATTGATTGGCTGCCTCCTGCACACGCCCTACTGGGGATCGAGCCTGCAACCCTGGGGTATGTGCCCTGACCAGGAATCAAACAGTGACCTCCTGGTTCATAGGGCAAGGCTTAACCATTGAGCCACACCAGCCGGGGCAGCCATTCATTCTTTTGACAAATCTTTTTGAGTACCTATTATTTGCCAAACATTGTAGGAGATTGTATATGGTATGAGCAAGACCTGTCATCCTTATAGAATTTATAATCTTGAGCACCTACTATGTGTCTGAGAGATCCTCATTGATCGGCTGCCTCCTGCATGCCCCATACTGGGGTTTGGGTATCGAGCTTGCAACCCCACCATGTGTCCTGACTGGGAATTGAACCTTGAACCATGACCTTCTGGTTCCTAGACCTACGCTCAACCACTGAGCCACACTGGGCGGGCTAAAAACAATTTTTGATTGTTTATCAATTATCTACCTCTTTGCTCTTGACTTTGAGTCCATGAAAACAAGGACCAGGTCTACATGCCCAGAGTTTAGCACACTGTAAATGCTCAATAAATGTCAAATGAATGAATGAATGTCAATCTTTTAGTTTTGTCTCTTACCATTGTCTCCATCAAATTTATGCCCAGCCATATTGAACTACTTGGAGTTTCCCGACTCTATCTTGCCCTCTTGTCCTGTACCTTTGAAGTTGCTGTCTTCCTTGCTCAGAATGTTTTGGTTGTTCCCCCCACCCCCACCCCACCAGCTTTATTGAGCTATAATTGATAGATAGCATTGCTTAAGTTTAAGATATATAATGTGATGATTTGTTACATATCGCAAAATGATTACCACAGTAAGGTTAATTAAGACATTTAACGTAACCACCATTTGTTGTGATGGTGGTGGTAGTGGTGGTGAGAACATTTAAGATTACTCCCTTAGAAACTTTCAAGCATACAATGCAGTATTGTTAACTACTGTCATCATGCTGTACATAGGAGCCCCAGAATTCATTCCTCTTATAACTGGAAATTTGTACCTTTTAACTAACAGCATCTCATTTCCCCCATTCCACAGCCCCTGGCAATCACCAGTCTACCCTGTGCTTTCATGAGCTTGGTGTTTTGAGATTCCACACATAAATGAGATCAAACAGTATTTTTTTAAATATATATTTTATTGATAGGAAGGGAGAAGGATAGAGAGTTAGAAACATCAGTTAGAAACATCGATGAAAGAGAAACATCGATCAGCTGCCTCCTGCACACTCCCTACTGGGGATGTGCCTGCAACCAAGGTACATGCCCTTGACCAGAATCGAACCTGGGACCCTTGAGTCCACAGGC